GGAAATGACGCACGGGTGCGAAGTCATCAAAAATGGTGGTTTCATGCTGCAGATATCATAAGCAATTGAAATCTGGTACCGAAGTGATCGCCATGCAACAGAATTTCAACAACATCGAAAACTTCAGTTTGGCAGCCTTATAAACCGAAGCAACATTTTTATAGTTATTTTTGTAAAACACGAGTACTAAAAAATGGTACTTTTGATGATCGATAAGAAGTGTAATACCGCCCAAGTGAACGACTCTACAAGACCTACTTCTCGAAATGCATCTTTCAAGAGTGCATTTGCAGACAATATCCTGAAAAACTGAGCGATAAAAAAAAAAAAAAAAATTCTGATGAAAAAAATGCAAATGTAAAAAAAAAAAAATGTCAAGCATTATAATTTTGGATCCAGATAGCAATGCACAGGGTTCACCGGTGTGATCACACGTTCTACGACAAACTTAAAACAGTGAGATCGTTAACAGTATCAATGGCTGCTGCCTTACAGTTTAACATGTACTGGCTGTGTTTCGATCCTTTCTTGTATGCGGGGAAAAAGGCGTCAGCTGAGACGTCAGTGTTGCAAAGAGGAACCGCGTGAAGTACTAACCTCCAGCATGCATGATTACCGCAAATCCTGCATGATGGAAAATGAAAAATTTGCTATCACCGAACGTTTACTAAAAATGCAAATTTGACAATGAGCAGAAGAGGATGACGAAATCCGTATTGAAAAGTTTCCAACCAGAATGTTAACGTATCTGTATGTGAAGTATAAGCGCATTTATGAATTGAATTTGAAATCTTTGGGTTGCATACAGACAGAGAATCCATCTAAAATTTGAGCTCCTTAGTCATTCTGGTTCCCGAATTCGAAATTTTTTGTCAAAACTTTCACATGTCCAAAACTGAGAATCAAGATTACTTAGGAACTGAATCTGGAATTGCGCGCACCAGAGAACATCCCACTAAAATCTCAACTTTTTGGCACACCTAATTTCTGAGCTAGCAATTTTCCCGCCAAAACCTTCATGTTCCCTAACGTGGAAACCAAGCGTACTGAGGAACTGTAAAATCTTTAGATAGCGCATCTGGATAAAGAACATCCTTCTAAAATTTCAGCTTCTCAGTCTGCCTTGTTCCTACGTTAGCAGTTTTTTGACCAAAAGTTCTACGTGCTCGTATGTGAGATACAGAGGCACGTGAAAATTTATATGACGTGCCCGAGGTGGCACTTGGCCCAAGAACCCCCTAGCAAAACTTTAGTACTTACGCTTACCTAGTTGCCAAATTGAAATCCCCAGACAGACACACAC